CATGACAGGGCATTGACCTGCCTGCTCCTGACAGATTGACTACATCTGACTTTTGACCCCTTTCAGGGTTATCAGTGGTGCCTCACTTATGCTGTTGCCACATTATCACGTTACCATGTAGTTTTTCCAGTCCAGTTGGCCAACTCAGCCACACATTGTGGCCCTGGAAACTGTATGTGTCATGATTTTAGGTTTCTGGGCCATTTGCAGTAAGAAAATAGTGTGCTTTGTATCACAAAAGTATTTTAGCAATGGGTCAGTAGTTAAGAATGCCATGGACATTCTACATTTTCTACCATTTATAGGCATCCAGTATTAAGAACATGGGGACAGTCTGCTCAAAATGTCACTGAGTATACTTCCTTCTTCACTCTCCTGATCCACAAGCTAGTAAGGCTGGGAATGAGGTGCAGTCATATCTTACCTCCTCTTAGCCATTTCCCGAGTAATGATGAGCATAAATGTTTGAGTTATATAAAATGATTTTACAAATTCAGAGTTCTGCCCTGAAGGTACTTGAGTTTGATGTTTTCTTCTTTCCCTTGGCAACTACTCCTTAGGATTTATATATCTCTGTGGTGCAGCTAGGTCTAAAAGGGATTTGGAGACTGAAATTCTAGTTGAGCCATTTAGATTATTGGAATGACACGTTATAGATGAGGCATTTTGGTTGAGTAGCCTGATGACCAAATCACCCTTCAGTGGACCATACAGGCTAATGTGGGAGATATGATGTAAATTTACTAGAAATGCCCTTGTTCTGCAATGTGCCTGACCCTTTCAGATGAAGATCTGGATGTAAATAGGGAATGACTAGAGAAAAAGTAAAGTTCTAGTCATTGAAATGTAGCACTTGAACTTTTTAGCTGTGTAAGAATAATAACCCTGGTATGTATGTAGAGAATACATTATATCCTAGATTAGAGGAAGAGAGGAACAACTAATCATTCTTTTTCCCCATAGATCTAGCACAGAGAGTAGTAAAACATAATACAGTCTGCACTTAATAAAATGCAGCTGAACTTGACAATCTGACTTACTGCTTCATTCTTCAACTCAACTATGTGCATGAAAACAGAAAACAAACAAACAAATAAACAAAAACATAAGGACATGGCAGGTTTTCCTGACACTTTCAGTAGTAGCTACCAAATGTGGAACCTCATTATATAGACACAAAACATACTGACCTGGGCAAACTTGCTTCAGTCTGAATGATACAAATCCATATGCTTTCCACGAGGTCCAAACAGCCTTATATAAAGCCATACATGTATGACAACCCAGAATGAAACTGCTCAGTGATTCTGCCCATTTTCTCACCCAATCCAATGTTATATAATACAAGTCAAGTTTGACAAGAAACCCTAAACTGGAATGATCTATGCCTATTTAGGTAGTTTCCATGAAAGGAGTCTTCAAAAAAAAAAAAAATCACTTGATGTTAAAATTACTATTTCCTGGAGTCAGCAGTTGGCGAAATGGCTATGTCGCTGGACTCCCATGTAGTTGACCGCAGTTCAAGTCCTGGACCGGTGGCTTAAACTCATGCGAAGCACATGTGCGTGCTTGTCCAAGATCCTGAGAGAAGAATGAAGGAGAAAGGATTGCAGTGCGGCATCCCCTCTGGAGGGTGATTTCTTGCTTTCTGTCTCTCTGTCTCTGTCTGTCTTTCTGGCGAGTGCATGTGCCCTATAGCAAAAAACCCTTAAAAAAAAAAAAAAAAAAACCTCTTGGGACCAGCAGGTAAGGTAAATACTATATTAAT